TATAACTGCCCTTGGCATGTTTAGTTAGTAGTTTGTATCACCACAAAATCACCTGCACGCTTATCTATAAGTTTGAAGCCTGGTCTACGAGCCGATCACAATGGAGACCATGAAGACGTCGTCACGAGATGTAGCGATGTCGCAACCGACTACAGCTGCGACGTTAGCGACCAGACCCAAAATGGTTCCCACAAAGACTTCAGAGCAAAAGCTGCAATCTGCGCCAACTATCGCGCCGGCAGCCGCTGTTGCTGTGCGCAAGCCAGCTGAACTCAACGTGACTATGCTTCCGCCAATACCTCGTCCACCGCCACCATCGTCACCTACTCCACCACCAAAAGACCCGACACCTCCTCCACTGCCGACAGCTCTACACATGCAGTCATCACCGCCGCCATCGCCAACACCCCCACAATTACCCACCCCAGTGACACCGACAGCATCTGCTCCATGTCCGGAAGCGGTACCTTGCACTTCCGGGGTGTCAACCCCTCCTCGAGAGCCTAGCCCTCCTCGAATTCATCTGCCGACGAAGGTGCCGATGCCAAGGATGGCAGCCCCGATTTTCGTGGATGTACAAAGTGAAATAGAGGTGCTTCCCGAAGAACACGAGTATGTACCGGAGCAAAGTGGGACCATGAGCACTTCAAGGTTTCAGTTTTGTTTTCTCCTTTTTTGCTCCTTTACTGTAGTCGTCTCCAACTTGAATGCTGAAATCACTAGACCGTGCAAAAACAGTTTTTTTTCTAAAATTGCAGAAATAACGTGAAAGTTTAGCGTTCAGGTCTCGAGTTTTCAGTGTACAATACTATTTGCTGTCGAATTTTAGTAGAGTTGGGGGAGACTATGTGTACAATGCTCACTAACATCACTAAAATAACACCTCTGCTGTGGCAGTCACATTGCTGATGCCATCTCACCAGAACTTACGTTTTGTGTTTGGTTCGTGGTAGCTGTTGCAAAACCTTCCTTTCTCTTTTTTCACGTTTCTTCTGGTGTTTGTCTTTGTGTTTGGTCTTATTTGGTTTATAGCGCATTGATGTATAGTTTTTGTGTTCATGGTTTTCGTGTTTCGTGTTCGACCTCTCTATTTCGCCCGTTTTGTTGACTAACGCTATTTCTAACTTTTACATTGTGAAACTCGCTGGTCACCTACAACGGACTTGACTTTGCTCGAATCAATCAATCCTAAGCTCAAGTTAAGTCGTCGCTTTTTTGAAAGGACTTTGTTACAGTCACGTTCTTGCCGAACAATGTAGCCTGGCATATAGATCTTGCACCAAATGTTATAAGTATCATAAAAGATCGTATCATACTGTCAAAAAGGATTTAATGTACTCTTTGTAAATCAGAAAGTGTTGATAATCAATAAAAAAATAAAGGAGGAGCAAAAATTTCGATCGAACTATTTGCAAGAACTCGTTTCTATAAGATTCCTTTCCATAAATGTGTCATAAGCACCAATACCGACTAAGACCGAGCTCAACTAAGCATTTAATTTCCCTTTACTCAGCATCTAAATCCTCTTTTTTGTCGCCACTATATGCCAGCGGTGATCGCTTTAAGTATCATTAAGCAACGCATATTCTTATTCTAAATGCCAGAATGAATGACATTCGAACATTTATTGAATGTTTGCAAATATTTTGCAAG